ATGTTTTTATGACACCTTGTCTATGTTTAAATACATTACATTTAGTCATCATGTTTCCTTAGGCTGTTCTTGGATGTGACATTTTCTCAGACTTTCCTAGTTAATGATCACCTTGACAATTTTGAGGACTACTGGTCAGGGATTGTACAGAATGTTCCTCTACTGGAATTTGTTTCATTTTTTAAAAGGATTAGACTGGGGTTATGGGTTTTGGGAGCAAGACCACAGAGGTAAAGTATCATTGTCTTAACACCATATTAAAGATACTTACTAGTAACATAACTTACCACGGTTGATCACCTTGATCACCTGGCTGAAGTAATATTTGAGTCTTGTTATTGATCCAATCTGTTAGTCTCTATTTTTAGTTGGTACATTTATATAATTTACATGTAAGTGATTATTGATATGGTTGAATTAATATTTATCCTGTTCTTAACAGTTTTCTATTTATTCTTTGTTTCTTACCTTTTCTAGTGCTGTTTTCTCTAGTTTTAATTGACCATTTTATATTATTCCATTTTCTCTCTTAGCATATCAATTATACTTTTAAAATTTTTGTAGTGGTTGCCCTGGAGTTTGCAATACACATTATTAGCTGATCTAAGTCCATCTTGAATTATACTATGCCACTCCATGTGTAGTGCAGATATCTTATAACAGAGTACAGTGGTCCCCCCTATTCAAGGGGGCTACATTCCAAGATCCCCAGCAGGTGCCTATAACTGCAGATAGCACTGAACCCTATATATACTATGATTTTTTACTATACTTACATACCTATGATGAAGTTTAAGTTATAAATTAGGCTCAATAAGAGGTTAACAACAATTACTATTAACAAAGTAGAACAATTATAACAATATACTATAATAAAAATTATGTGAATGTGGTCCCTCTGTCTCTCAAAATATCTTACTGTATTGTACTCACCCTTCTTATGATGATGATGTGAGATGATAAACTTCCTGTATGATGAGAAGCAATGAGGTGAACGATGTATGCATTATAGCGTTAGCTACCGTTGACCTTCTCACGATATGTTAGAAAGAGGATCATCTGTTTCGGGTGATCCTGGGTCATTGAGCCATGATGATGTTGATGGTTGAATGTCAGGGGCAGGCTGTGCTGATGACTAATGGGTGAGTGCAGTTTAATCTTTTGAATTATTTCTGGAAATTTCCATGTAACACTTTTGTACCACGGTTGACCGTGGGTAACTGAAACTGCAGAAAGTCAAACCATGGATAAGTGTGGGAGGACTACTATATTCCTGACTCTTTCTTCTCATTCCTAACAATGTTACTGCCGTTCATTTTACTCGTCCAGGTGCAATAACCACAATGCATTGTTGCTATCTCTTTTAACAGAGTCTTTTAGGTTAATTACAAATAAGCAAAACAAAAGATTATATGTTAGGTTCATTTATTTCTTCTCTGATACTCTTCCTTTATTTATCTTATCCAAGTTTCTGACCTATATGCTTTTTATTCTCTGTGAATAGTTTCTATTGTTTTCTAACATTTTTTGCAGGGCAGGTCTGCTGGTGATGAATTCTCTCAGTTTTTGTTTGTCTGAGAAAACCATTATTTCTCCTTCCCTTTTCAGGATATTTACACTGGATATAGAGTTCAAGATTGTTGGGTTTTTTCCCCCCCAACACTTTAAATATTTCCATTCACTCTCTTCTTGCTTGCACGGTTTTTTATGAGAAGTTCTCTTTAATTTTTATCTTTCATTCTCTGTAAGGTTTTTTTTCTTTTTTTTCTTCTTTCAAGATTTTCTTTTTGTTTTGGTTTTCTGAAGTTTAAATATGATATGTCTAGGTGTAGATTTTTTCCTTTTTATCCTGCTTGATGTTTTCTGAGCTTTCTGAATCTGTGCCTTAGTGTTTGTTGTTAATTTTGGAAAATTCTTGGCCGTTATTACTTCAAATATTTCTCTGATCCATTTTAACTTTATTTTCCTTTTGACTTTCTAATTACACATATTTTACACCTCTTAAAATTTTCTGACACTTTGGATGTTCTAGGGTTTTTTTTTTATTTTTTTCATTCTTTATGCCTTTGCATTTTAGTTTGGGAGGTTTTTATTGACCTATTTTCAAGCCCACTGATTATTTCCTCAGCTGTGTCCAGATTAATGAGCCCATCAAAAGCATTCTTCATCTCTGTCGCAGTATCACTGATGTCTAGCATTTCCTTTTGATTTCTATCACTCTGCTTACATTATCCATCTGTTTTAGTGTGTTGTCCCCTTTCTCCATCACAGTCTTTAGTATGTATAATAATTTTAAATTGCCTGCCTGAGAATTCCAAAATTTTTGTTATATCTGAGTGCAATTCTATTGCTTGCTTTGTCTTGTTGGGGCTCACATAAATTATACCGTAAAGTACAGTGCTCGGTATGTGAGCACTTTTGAATTAAAGAAAACTGGACAGCCTTAAAATCTGCCTTAGACCCAAGGACTTTCTAACCTTCTCTTGTTCCACCCTTCCTTCCCCCCAAGCACAGGAAGGTGCTCTCTCTGGAATTTCCTTAACTAACTGAAGAAAATTCTTTCCAACATAAGTGGAACATAAGACAACATAAGTTGTCTTAAAACTCCTTCCCTGGAAATCTCATTAAATAATCAAGAAAGATTAACCAGGAAGAAGAGAAGAGACTAAAAGCCATTACCACATCTAGACATGTTAGGTTTTAGTCTGAAACCGTCGGTTCTTGGTGTGCTCATGGCCGAAGAATGACCAGACACGCCAAAGTTAGGCAAGCATGAAAATGAGGTTTGTTGAGAAGAGAAAGATAGGATTATAGGGCAAGAGCAAGATATAGGTTTACAGAGCCTGGCGCATACGCCATAGATGACGACTGGACCTATCATCGCAGCAGGGCAGGGAAAAGGAAGGGCAAAGAGAGCTCGGCTATGGTCTGCATCCTATTTTATAGTGTCCAGATAGGGACCTCCCTTGTGGTTCAGCAGTCACCATGGAACCACTTTGATTAGACAGTTGGGAGTCACATGATCTGAGCTTTAACTATGCATGTGGGTTCTAGGTCACTTTCTGGACTTTACGGTACTTGTGTGACTTGTCCTGTGGGCTAGAGAGTCCTCTGCATTCTTTTGCAGCTGGCTTGCCAAGTTCTGATTGGCAGATTCACAGGGTGTTCCCTCCTCCCCCAGCTATGGAGAATCAGAGTGGGGCAGGACCAAGATGGGGGCAACAGCACCCACTTTCGTCCCTAGGAGACCTGTAATCCCTCACTGTCTACCTAACAGACATTTCATCTGTTTTTCTGAGGGCAGCTCTGAGATGACCTCAGGGACTGTATAAGACAACCTTTGTTCACAATGTAGTTTTGCCCCCATCTTCCTTATAACTTGTCCACAAATTATTCTTTGTCCTTACATTCCCTTCAGTGTCCGAAGAGAATCATTTACCAGCCATCAACTGTTCTTTGGAACCATTTATTTCCCCTAAACATTATTTGCTACCCCTCTAAAATTGCTTACAGCCTCCCCCCACTTTCCCCTCCTCTATGAAGAGAGGATTTAAGCCTCAACCACTTGGCCCTACTTTGAGCCTCATATTTTGTATGGCTGCTGTGTTATGCACATTAATAAATTCGTGTGCCTCTTCTCATGTTAATCGGTTTACTGTCAGTTCATTTCAGTGAACCTTCAGAGAGAGTGAAAGGGAAGCTTTCCCTTGGCGCCTACAGTGTCTTCAGATTGTTTTTTCTTGCCTTTTTAGCACGCCTTGTAATTTTTTGTTGAAATTGGACATGATGTTTTAGGTAATAGGAACTAAAGTAGAAAGTCTGTAGTGTGAAGTTTTGTTAATCTATCTAGGAATTGGATTGTGTTTACTATTTGCTGTAGCTGTAGAGGCCAGACACTTCAGATTCTTTTGTCCTTGTTTCTAATCTTACCTGTTGTCTTGGGCTTTCCTACGGCCTCTCAGAGAGAGTCTGTGCCTTGGAGCTCTTTCAGCTGTAATCCACTGTTATCACACTAGAGCCCTGTGGGTGTGGCATAAATTGTGGAGAAGGGGAGATTCTATAATATTATGATTAAATGTCACTAGTTTAGTGGACCTATGTTCTGGGCTATGACCTTCACAAATGTTTCTTAGCTTTTTCCCTCCCTTAGGTGAGACAGGAAGGCTGAATGAGGCTGGAGTCACCATAGATGGAATGAGTCTCTGGGCCTCTTTTCTCCTGGAGAGTAGGCCTTTGTTAGGGAGAATGCTCTGGGCTCTATGATTATTCTGCCCTGCTTCCCCCACCTGCCAGAGCCACAGAAGATCTTTCCTGTATCTTCACCGTGAGAATGCAGTGGGGTCTCTAGAAGTAATACGCATTAAAATGTAGGGTCCTTCTAAGATTGCATCACTTGATGCTTTCCAATGATGTAAAAAAAAAAAAAAAGAAAAGAAAAGAAAAAATAAGCAAAGTAATAGAATATATAACAGAGAAACTAATTGGGAGGATAGAATTATAAAAAATAGTAAATACATTTTTAAAAAAGGCAACACCCTTCTCCTGAAATTTATATAACCCTTATATACCACCTTTTATCATTAACACATACCAACATTCCTTGATCACCTTACACAAAGAGAAGAATATATTATGTTAAGGTGAAGGCAAAAAGGTCTTTAAATACCACTGAGGAGTAAGGAAGATACTAACTCTACCGATGTTTGAAGTTCTTGGCTATTAGAAATAAACCTGTGATAAATATCCATGTGCAGGGTTTTTTTTTTTGTATGTGTGAATATAATTTTACATTTCTTTAGGATACATGCCCAAAAGTGCAATTGCTCGGTTGCATGGTAATTGCATAAAGAAACCAACAGATTGCCTCACCCCCTCAGGCTCTGCCCTGCCTTGCAGAGCTGGGACAGCACTGCCAGGCAGACATGGCTGACAGCAAGGTTACTGGGGAGTGCCTATGCCCAGCCATGGGAAACTCAGTCCCTGCTTTGGTTCCTTGGGTGATGGCGGTGGATCTTCTTCCATTTGCATGTGATGGTTGTTCAGGAATATTTTGCCTTGAACATGGAAGCGGAGAGTCTCACTGTTGTCCTGAAGTGACTATAATCAATGAGAGACTGAAGACAGATAAACATAAATCTTACCCAAGCCCATTCAAGGACTGTACCGAAAGAGAACTTGTGACAGTTATATGTCCCTACTGTGAGAAGAATTTTTGCCTGAGACACTGTCCTGAGTCAGATCATGAGTGTGAAAAACTGGAAATCTCAAGGGCTGGTATGGCTGCCACTCAGAAACTTGCCAAAGACATTATTGATTCCAAGGCAGAAGAGACAGTATACAAAGGACGGAAAGGTGCAAAAAATGGTGAAACAGCTGTAAGGTTGCACTGATGAGATTACAGATGTATGCTGATGGGGTTAAGTCATCGCCACAGGGTGTTTCTTGTAAGCAGCATATAGCTGTACTTTATTTTTTAATCCAGTTTGATAGCATCTTTCTTTTATAGACAGAAAAAATTTATTTTCAGGCTTTCTTACCTAAGGGGAGAAAAGAGAAGAGCAAACCAATGCTCTTTTGCCACTGATGGAACATCGGAAAGACCATAGATTTTGTAGCTTCTCTAGCCAGTCTTAAAAGAACTGTAATAAATAAATAGCTAAGGAATTCAGGTTATGTCACGTTATTTCAGGAACAGCCATGGATCAGACTTCAGCAGCCTGGATTACTAAGGAGGATTGTCCTTTATATAATGGTGGGAATATTTATTACCTTGAAATATCTCGATGATGAAGAACAATTTTTAAAAAATGTTGATTTTTACTTAGAATAGTCATTCAAGGATTCAAGCCAGAAATCACAAGGAAAATTCTTTGTACATGTTTAAGTCAATTTCTTTTACTACAAATGCTATTTTTTTTATTTTTAAAGGCTGCTTTTTAACTTATTTCCATTGTGTCACATTTTACATTATCAGTCTTATATTAATTTCAAGTTTTTGTGTTTTTAAGTTTAACCATGAACTGATAATTATTAGCACATTCTTGCATTTAATTAGCTTTCATCAGGTCATGCTGTGGTAACAACAGCAAAGGTAATTTCCCAGTGGGTTACTGCCAGCTGTTGACTGGCTGTGGCACTGCCCCATGTCATCTTCACTCCAGGACTGAAGCTGAAGGAATGACGCCTTTTGGGGACATTGCCATTCTTATGCCAGAGGAAGAAGGAGATGACAGACATTTCAGTGGACTCACAGAAGATACATGTGCCATTTTTGCTTTAAGCAAGTCACATGGCCAAGCCTAGCATCGTGGGGCCTTACTATCTACCTACGTCATGATGTCTAAACTGATGTGTTTATAGAATTGTGAAAACTTAAAGATCATCTCACTCAGTCCTCTAAGATTTTGGATGAGGAGCCTCAGGCCTAGGAAGGGAAAGTGATTTTCTTTGTGTCACCTAACTGTGCTAGGGCATATTTCTCATAAAGACCCTCCTCCAGGAGGATTCAGCTTTTTTGTTTGTATGAGTGTATTACAAATGAGAAGAAAGATGGATAGCTCTACTTCATTGTGATCTCTGTGTACACACCAAAGCAAAACATGCCAAAAGCAACTACACTGTTACCAACAAATTCAAATTAATGCTCCTGACTGATGTTTCCCATCTATACCCAACAAAGTTTACTGTATAGAAATTATTTCTATTTGTTCTTTGTACTTTTTCTAATCTAATTGTCATGGACATGTATAGTAGCTTTACATTTAATTAAAGGAATAAACTCAGGAAAAAAAAAAAACTAACAGGCTGTTTCTCACTCAGGTGGCTTTACCATGTTACGTTGTCACCAACTATGTATGAATGACCTAGTTTCTTCACATCTTCACCAGTATTTGATGTCATTGCTATTTAATATTTTAGTTTTTCTGACTAGATGTCTAGGATACCTCTTTGTACTTTTAATTTTCATTTCTTTAATGGCTAAAGATATTGAACATCTCTTTGT